GGCAACCGCAATTAGGTCTTAAAGATGTTTAAAGAGGTACGATGCTGCCAATCCCTCGACTAGAAATTCCCTTAGTCGTCTTTTACGACACCTTCGGAGAAGGAAGGGGTCGCCTATTCTTATAAATTTCATCTTCTACTATTCTTTTAATTATAATGTATTATAACTTTTCCTACCTCACATATGAAGGATACGAAACAAATCTCACTTATATAAACGAAAGTTTTAAATTTCTTACAACAATATCTTTCAACTCGACATAACGACACAATTTTTTAAAAACTGTGGGTACTTACTGGAATATGTGGAACCTTATCATTATTGTCAAAACGGCGTCATGGGTAGGGTTGCCATACGAACGAAGATACCATGATAAATTGCAGAATAGACATAAATATATTCCCATTTCATTTCAGTATTTTCTTCAGTCATGCTAACTCTAATTTAGTAATGTATAAGTAAATATAAAATAGTCAAACAAGGATTTAGATTATTCATAAAAGATAATATTCAATTCAGAATTTCGTATGATTTATAAAAATATAGATCCGTATGTTGGAACTAATAATTAACAGGAAAATCATATAAAAATCAAGAAGAAAGAGAATACCAAAGGGAGACTTTGTATTATAGTCCTAGCTTCATTTTTACTCGTGTTGCTGTGTTGTTGTTTTGAATTGTAGAATAGGATATGATAGAGAAATTAATGAGTATGGAAGCAATTTTTTTTCCTATTTAAGATCTTTGCTTTTTGCTTCGCTGTTGAACTCTTGCCACTCGCTACGATTCTCAGCGAGTCTCATCACCTCACCAGCTGTAACTATGTCTTGGTCTTCCCTCCTTCCTTCTATTTTACCTTTTATTATAATGTTTATAAGTTGTGTTGTATCAAGTGTCCCAAAATTTTTACCCTTTTGACCTCAATAGTTTTGATAATTAGTCTCTTTTTCTTAATCCTTATAGGACCTCTTCATTATTAATTCGATCTTTCCAGTAAATTTTCTCCATCCTTCTCCAGCACCACATGGGGGTATAACATAAATAAAATAGTCCTCAGGAACGGCTGCACTTGAGGGGATTCCATTCCATATATCCTGTCGGTCGTATTATTTATGTCCATAGTCGACAGTTGCAACTCTTCGAGAGAGTCGTCACCTTGTTTGTAAATACAAAAAAAAATTCTTGTTATAAATAATCAGTCTGTAATGTTTAACTATTATATCTAATCTTTGTTATTCTGTTCGACAACTGCAACTATTTCGATATACTCTGATGGTTGACAACCCTAATCACGGCCACAGCATGCAGTGAAAAATGATTCGCGACATTGAACACGGTTAATGCAAGGTATCTCACGTCCAGTCTCCACAATCGGATGGACAGCTGGACATTAATAATATTACTCATTGTACGACATCTGATATAGGTACATCGCTACGGGGGCATACTTAATGTGGTCTTCAATTAGTTATGGGATTTCATGGATATTTAAAAGAATTATTGAGCCTTGCTCGGTTTCAGGGATTAATATATTGTACTGTAAACAATTTATATTAAATTTTCAATTGAATACCTAAAAATTTTTTAAGATCAATCAAAATCAAATATATGTCACCATCACATCATCAATATCAGCCATTATCTGTCCACTGCTGAACATTGATCTCGCCTATAGACTGCCATAAGGAACGGTACTCAGCCACCTGTAAATATATAATATATATTACTACTATAATGTATTCTACTCGAATAGTAAAAAATAAAAACTCGTATCAATCCTTTGCATAAGCGTTATGTGTTATAGTTAGTTATGCGTTAAACAAAAACACGATTCTACCGATATTCTACCGATTTTATTCTTATAAAGGTCTGTTTTGAAATATTGTATGACATGATATCAACGTCTATTATGGCACCTCTTGTTTAAACCTAGAAATTAAATAATCACAGATAATGCAGTTTCAAAGAACTTTCAGATCGCGAATAGAAGAGGTTTTGTCTAAAGACTCAGTAGCCCCATGCAGTCGTGGGTTTAACAAAAAGAATGTAATAAGGTTTATTGGAGTCCACAACGCGTGCATGACATCCTTGGTGTTGCAAGTGTCAATAGACTTTGGTAACTGTGTACCATCAGATTGTCCTTATACATGTTTATTAGCTCCTGTAGTAACATAATCTAACTGACATAATGTTTTGTTTATTAGGATATTGTATTTAGAAACCTAATACCCGAATAAACAGATTATTAGATTCTAGTTTGTATATTTCCAATTATACTCTTAATTTTTCAAAATTCATATTTGGATCTTTCAATAATTTAAATAAAAATATCCTCTGGTATGTCATGTTATATATCAGCTATATACAACGATGGTGATCTAAAAATTCTAATACATCAGAAGATACCACGATTTACCTAATTAGCAGTACCTATTTTCTTTCTAATGGTTATGTAATTTTTCAGAGTTTTGAACTTAAGTATATTTTATTGGATATTGGTAAGGGCATTGCTAGCATAGCATATTAAGTGGTCAGTTATTTCATATACGCTACTGAAGATTTCAGGGTTCGTAACTACTGAAACATACGTAACAAGACGGATGTATATCAAAACGGCGTATAAAGCGAATATTCAGACAGAATGATTTATAGGTCCAGCCTCCGATACGCACCCGCGACCTACAAACTAAGCAACCTTCGCATTTTTCGACACTCTTTTGTTGGCACGTGGTGGCGCGGTGGCGCCCCCTCGCAGGTTCGCTTGTCATGTCATTGGTATAACGATCATTTATCATAGCTCAATACTGGCATCGAATTGAACGGCGTCTAGCTGGCGCTTGCATCCCTATTTGGAGGTCGGAGAGAGAGGACGTAGCAGTAATAAAAACTTACTGACAATCTTGTGTTCATTAAGATTCCCTTATAGAGTGTGATGCTTTTTAATGCCATCAACAGTGACAACTTAACCGAGTACATGGCAATATCAACGTTCAGCTTAAACCACGTCGTAGACTTTCGTATACAATGAGACTTGTCTATCTATAAACTCTTGTCTTCAGAAGACGCCTTTACATGAGGTGTTATATCCATCGAGCTATATGGATCTGATCGATGGGCGCTCACATATTTCAATCCCAAAGGCTTAATCACATTAAAATTTATAATCCTCACTATTTGATATGCGGAAGAACAATACTATATTGGAAGTCAGTGATAGCGTCATTGTCCAGTCATGTGCTGTAGTTTGGCTAAATCTTCTTCCTCTGCATCATGGAATTAAATGTCGGTTGTCTATGTATATGTATAAATATTGGTAAATCAGACTTAAGTACAATTAACTCTATGTTAGGTAAGATTTACTAACAATAATCACCAGTCTCTTCACTAACTCGTGTACTATCACTTATTGTTGATAATGGCTGGATATGGTTTATAGTTTTAGATTAATATAAATTTAAAATTATTTTTCCCTGTGTCTTGGTCTTTACCTGTCCTTTATTTTTTTCTGTAGCTCTTATAGTGAAACACATATTTTACTTTCTAATATTTTTAGTCTTTTAAAGTCTACAAATTCGCCAATATACATATACAATATACAACAGCTTTAAACAGTGTTTTGATCAGTGAACTGAATATATATAATACAGAATTAATGTGTAATTAATACAGAATTAACAGTGGACAATTTGCCTTTATCTTAATGGCCACGTTTCAGGACCATTAAGATAAAGGCAAATTGTCCACTGGGGTGCAGCATCATGAACATAGATATATTCTACATCATGTACTTGATAATACCTACTTCTTGTTTGCATATATATAAACAAATAAATCTATCGATGGAATGACAACGTTGCATATATTTGTTACTGCATGCAAGCTTTTTTGAGTGTTATATGTTTATTCTGTAACTTTATAAATCACTACGTTACTTCGTAGCATAAATAAAATACATACAGGTATTGAAACTACTGGCTGTAATATAGATTTAAATTACAGGATGTAGAGGCATAACATGTTAGTTCTTGTGAATGGTAAGGTATAAAAGATATCATGGGCGATACAGTATACTTTGTTATGTTCTTAATGTTGTTTATGTCTATAGGCGACGATTACCAGTTCTCATCAACTGGGCAGTCAGCTTGATTACCATTTTAAGTTGCATAAAAAAAAAACTACGTACTATTTTCTGTTTATTTTGAAATGGAATATAATATTCTATTGAATTTAATGAAAAGGTAAATAAGATTTTTAAAATTATTACAGAAATACTCTTTAAATGAAATTTGTAATAAATTAAAATATCAAATTTATTAAGTTTTAAATTGTACTACTATAGGACTATACTTGTATGACATGATTATTTTTTAAAGAGCATATTAGAAGAAAAAATAGATGACAAAACGGAACGGGGAAGATCGATAAATAACTATATGAGATACATAAAGGTCACACTAGGTTACATATTATATAGGACGTCAAATATATGGTCTGGAGCAATGCTGGCTGGAAGAAAATACATGAATTAGTTGCCTCGATAAGAGGAAACTCTTAAGTAATATATATATATATATATATATATATATATATATATATATATATATATATATATATATATATATATATATATACTATTTTTATGAATAGTTGAATTAATTTGTTCGTTAGTTTATATTTTAATTAAATTCTATTGAAACAGACTATAACTATAGAATAAAGTACTATCTATAGCTAAGGCGCTACGCCTTCGTGTATAATGGTTATGAGGAAACAACACGTCAATGATTGTCCCTTGCATATAAACAGAATTTGTTGTTATTGATACTAAATTTCCATACCTATAAAAAAATCATAGTAAAAATATATCACTAGTTTTCCAATTAAATTACACACGTATAATATGTTTTATAATTAATTTCAAGCATAACAGCGTTCATAGAATCCATGTAATCAAATTAATTTGACAAAATCTAATAAAAGACACTCATTTACCTTCATAATTTATTTTATCATCTTCATCAATTTTTCAAATTTAATACAATTTATTAATACAATACAATAATTTAAATGATCAAGTTGCTACTTTCCTATAGTCCTCATTTAAATTGGAATGAACGATAAACATATTTATAAGTATTTAGTTAAAAAGAAACAACGTAACTAAAGTTTTTACAATTGAATGATAAAAGAAAAGTGACAAAAAATTAGGCCACGTCCTATTGCACAGAAAATTAACATCAGAAGCATTATCAACATAAATTATGCGAAGTTCTTACGCAATATGTTTTTGAACATTATTTAATTAATTAATTCTAAGTGACGTATCTAATATTTACAAACAATAAATAAAGTAACAAATGAACCAGTCAAGTAAATCAAAAATAAGCAATACAAACATACTTTTTGATAAGAAATATGAACTTAAATTGTGCTGTTTCACTTAAGAATAAAATTTAACAAAATATCACAGTTGACCACGACAATTCTAATAATATGTGATAACAAAATCAAAAGCCACGATTCGTATATGAAATAAAGAAAAGTAAAAATTAATAATTGTTTTTTCCTGTTAGAAGAATTTAAAGAAAAATATATTAATTACTAAGAATATTTTAAGTACATTTTACAATATACGACATTAAAGATTTAAAGTACATAGGTATAGTCACATGAAAATTTACTTGGTATCGTTTGTCGAAATTTAAAAAAAAATATCTATTTTATATAATGCATTCTTAATGTTACATTACGCATACTGTATTTATAGCATATGATAAATATATATTATTTACAACTAAGAACAGGAACATAAAACAGTTCTTCGGGAAGTATATTGAAATATATTAAACTTTCATTGTATCTACTAAACGACAAATTATTTACATCAATGAGAAGAAATATCTAACTATTCACAGTTTGTTTATTATTATAGTTACTGAGCTTACTTCGGCTAGTTAAGTTCACAGCTCTTTTACAAGCCTTCCCTAAATATTACGCGACAAATTCATAATCATTAAAGGAATACAATAGTATGACAGATCTAAATATATTTTTGATACATCTTTTTTTTTTGTTTAGACATAGTTGATTTGGATTCACCAAGTTTTAATCTATCCCTGTACAACTCCGAATTTGTTTTTCGTGTGAAGGCTAATTGATTATATTTAAAATTTGTGTGATTTATGTTTGTTGGGCTGCATTATTGCAACATTTTTAACTTAGTCTAGCCATCACAATATACACTATTCGGTATTCAGTTGTTTTTATATCTTACATTTTTACGTATAATATGAAAATCGAATTACAGCTTATGACTAGGTAAAATTCTTTCTACTTCAAATTTTAACGACGTTTTATCATATTTAGATCATGATGAAACATTATTATAAATCATAGTAATAACCAATTTCTTATAGGTACCCAAAATCTAATCATATTTTAGATCAAGGGTGACATTAGACGAATTTAATGTCATTGACATCTTAATTTAAATTTAAACCTGTTGAATTTGTAAGAATATCGCACTTAAATTAACGCTCCTCCATTGTAGCTCGCTCGTTACCACTCAATTTCACGTCTTGAAGCACAGAACCAATGTCTTTATCATCACTTTAAAATGTCACAACAATAATGTTAACAGAATTAGGCTATAGGTACTAGATAAATTTTTCGAACAGCGAATAACTGATCCAGTCTGGTTGCTGTAGCATAGCATTTTGATCAAAAGTCTATGTTACACGCAACCCCGTACTATACGGTCGACTGTCTAGTTTAATAAATCAGTTATCCGCTGTTCGAAAAATTCCACTGATCCTATGCGGAGAGGTGCGCGAACTGGCTCGGGTGAAGGTCGAACTGGTATGGGTGGCCATATGGATTCATATGGTAGGGAACAATGTTCATCGATGCCATTTTGTGCTCTTTCTTCCACTTCATGCGCCTGTTCTGGAACCAAATCTTGATCTGGCGTTCGGTGAGACAAAGTGCGTGCGCGATCTCGATCCGTCTCCTCCGTGTCAGGTATCGGTTGAAGTGGAACTCCTTCTCCAGCTCCAGCGTTTGATACCGAGTGTACGACGTCCTTTGACGCTTTGTCTCCCCATTCGCGTTCACTGTACCTGAAACCACAAACAACCAAATTTAACACGTGACAAATAACATGATCGAGTGCAGTGTCACGACATAGGTGCATTGAGTATTATTCTAGTCACAAACTCGAAGTAACGATAATATATAGATCTGAATGTTTGTTTGAGCGCCAATGAATAGTTGGCTCGATAGAGCCGCGCTGTTGTACCACGCTTGCTCGATTGTGATATACAGCTCGCGGCTAACACGTTCGATTCAACCGTAACTGTATAGAAATCTTAACATCGATAGAATAAGAATTGTTATTTAGTTCGAGTTATACCATTTTTCTTAATATAATTACAGCTCTTACACGTGTAGTCTCGAGCCAGTCTTTGAAAATCAAAAAGTTTGGGACAAAATAAACTTTGTAATGTTCAGATTTTGTTATATCGTTGGTGAAGTATCTCAGGCATGCGTACTAGAGAGTAGGCATATCAGAATCAAAGGAGGTATGGCAGCGACACTCAAGTCATGGGTTGCATGCCGCACCTGTCACGTCGTGTCGACGGTCCGACCCACCACTTGGTCCGGTTTGGACGCGCGCCAGTTGTACGGTGATCGATACATGCCCTGTCTCGACTCTGTCTACCAAATTAAACTGTATCATTTATTACATTTCTTTAAGCAGCCCACTAATGAGACTCATAACATTAAACGAATGTATTGTCTCACTCAGTTCTATTGACCGGAATTATAGAATAACGAAATGGCAATGCATTGTGAGATAAAATAGTCGAAGATATCCAACGGTAAATAAAAAAGTAATATATTCAGTTGAAGCGTCCAATACTTTCCCTTATGTCAAGCCTGCGTCAATAAAGATGTTTAAGAGAATATAAATATTCGATGTTGCACGGACCAAGGGAACAAGTGAGTCTGCGGCAAAAACCTTACACGATTGAAATGTTAGTGACAGCTTGATGCACAAACAACAGGCTGGCAGCATTATTTTAACATAATCCTTGTACAGAAATGAAACGAATGGACGCAATACGATTGTATTTGAATTTCAATGTGAATTTACGAATAATATGGTGATATTGATTAAATAGTCACATCAAATTTCTAATTTGAAGTTTATAAATTCAATTAATGAACAATGAATTCATGGTTTATTAAATTAATTGCGTTTTTTTTTAAAATGAAGATTTAAAATATCTAAATGAATTGATTAAAATACAACATATTTAAGCCATTCAAGTTGGACATCCTAGGTATTTTCCTGTTACCATTGCAATCTAATTTCTAGACATTATATTTTTATAAAAAGTTTCCAAATATAATTATAAAATTTTATTTTGTATGTACTTAGTTCCGTATAAGGTTTAAATATTTGTATTGAAATACATTGGAATATTAGTTGTAAATAAATATAATATTTAAATAAGTCTTTTTAATATTTTTCCTTTTGCATCAGAGATTAAGAAAAATTAGTAAGCAATTTTGAACTAGTAAATTAATAATGAATTTAAGGTTAAATGAGAAAATATATATAAGAAGGAAATTATTATAGTTTGAAATCACAAATTTCGTTACCCTTTTTTATTCAGCTATATTTATCTAATGTAGAAAGCTGGAATCTTTGTACCTTTGAGAAATAACATTTAAACTTTATTTTAGATTTAGATTAGACGGATCATATACTTCTCATTTAATATGCATTCGATAAAGTGATCACAATTGAGGAATGGCAAATTTGAGGAAAAAATGAAAAATTAAATCGAAGTGTACGAGAAAATGCAATGTGAGTCATCCAGAACTAATTGATCTTAAAAAAAAATTAAAGATATTATTATTCAAGTAAACTTAAATTTGAGCATTTATGAATAGATTTTTTACGATTTTACTGCTCATTCGAAATGCAATTTTAGCTGATAAGAATGAACAAGAAACTCGACTATTGCTTTTTTCAAAAACTTGACTTTTATAAATTATTATCTTGTGTAAATATAAACTATTAAGCTAAACACAAGAAGAATAGAGAAATGCATTATTCAATGTAGTTCTATATTTTTCTTTCTGGAAGCTCATGATGAAGAAGATGAAGTAGAATAATGACAATGTTAAATTGTTATTGAAATCAATTTGAATTTTTTTTTATTTCGATTCTACGTCAAGTATCAAATTGGGTATTATATTTCACATAAGAATATCAAGTATATTCCAGTGCACGCTATGTTAGTCAATTCTTTTCAATATCAATATGTAATTCTAGGTCACAGGCCATTGATATTCTGTCTGCCTAAGTCTAGACATATTGCATGGTCGAATTTTAAACGAATGACATCGCATTAGCCTATGGATGAGACTTAAAATTTAAAAACTAAAACAGACAGTGTCTGGATATTTTAGATGGAACTGCCTTATTTAAACATATTTATTATTAGTTATTTTTTTAGGAAGAAGCTTGAATATTGGATTACTAAAATGATTATTTATGGGTAGTATTTATCTATACCGAGTAGATAAATATTTATTTATTATGTATTTGAGGGTAGCTGCCATAATTATTATGTATTTGCTAATACGGCCAACCTAATAATAAAACCGTAACTTTTACCGTTCTCAATGAACGTTTAGATAGTTTTTTTTTCTATTTAATTTAACCTACCCTCCAAAAATAAGCATAATATTGTTTGGTATATAAATTGGGAATATGTAATTGGTCAATGTATGGTGTAAATATAATATTTTTAATTATTCTAGATATAAGCTATTGATTCCAGATAAAATATTAAAATAAAATAAAATAAAGAACATCAGAATATGTGCGCGATACTAACCCTAAAGCCTTCTGACTGAGGTTTGTTGACAGGTATTAACTTAAAGATACAAGAAAAGCTATTTCTTTTAAAGCTAAGGGTCTTTAGGTCACATAATTTTGGTCTTTCAAGTCAGGATATCTAATATATAAATACATTTTATGATAAGAGATATCTCATAATCTATATCATTATATTTATGTTGGTTTCCAAGAATTATTAAGATTCCATTTGATAAGATTTTGGAACGATACGACTACTGTACGAGGACATGTAGAGTGAAAAATAACTCACATTACCACAACCTGTTATTCTACCTTCATTACGTTTATAAAGAAAAACAAAAAGCTAGAAGTCATTAACACACAGATTTATGGGCTATTCATAATTATTGTCCATAATTTTGAAAAGCATATGATTAACATATAATTTTACGCTCAAAATATAAGAAGGGACACGAAAAATAATAAACTTTACCATTCAGAATATTTTTGTCTATCATTCCATCAGCATTGGTAGTTAAATAACGGCTTACGACTTGGTATATGCCAGCATAAAAATGTTCAGCGATAAAACATCAAAGGAAACATGAATAATGGTATCTAGATGAAAACAGAATACATGTAATAAAAGTGTCACCTACAGTTTTTTATTTTGCGGCTATGTAGCGGGTAATTGTTTTATCATATTATAATAAAATATATAAATTACGTAAAGAACGAAAGAGGAAGTAAGCATACGATATCTCACCGGTTAATTTCTAAGATTTTTCAATAAATCAAAACCGACAACTTGGAAAATAAAATACAATCAATTTGTGCAATAAAGAACCAACAGTCTCATAATGTCCTTCTTTACGAAGAGAATTTCATATTGGTATATCGCACTCCACATGGCATCGGATTACCATCCGAGATCAATCAAATGGAACGGGAAGAACGAGAATGTAACAACAAGTCACAGTTCTCAGTAATAAGAGGACCATTAAAAACTACTACTACGCTTCCGTATGCGTCCCGGCATAGAATAGGCCACCCCTTCCTTTCTAGTCTTAAGAGACTACTAAGAAAACTTAATGGTTAAGGGATTTGCAACAGCGTCTCTTTTAAATTATTACCATATGCTAACTGCTGTTGCCATCCCGCCTGCCAAGCAAAGCAACTACTCGCAAAAGCCCTCCTTAAGGGGGAGACCTATGTTTAGTAACAGTAAATAGTGAACGGTTGATATGATAACGTTAACTACCATGTGGATCAGGCATATTATTACTACACAAAACTTAAATTATTGGATACAGTAACTGTGATCAGAAAGAATTAGTAAGAGAAAGGAAATATAAAATAAATCCTATATGTATAGTATACATAATTAAGATTTGAATGTAACATGATTCTACAACGCATCAGTATGTATTTGTATTGTGAGTCGAAAAGTTATGGTAGTCGTTTACCATCAAACAATTGATGTCGTATTAAAAAAAAAGTAATTCACGGTCGAAAACATGATTGTGTTCCAAAGAAAAAAAAACTGACTTCGATTGTGAAAAAAAAAAACAGTTATTGAGGTATAATATATCCTTTAAAATAAAAAAAAAAAAATATTGCAAATCAGTTAGCACCGGCAGCGTTATGACACAACAAACATAAATAAAAGTCAGTTTGGTTAAACTGAGAACTTCCTTCTTTTCGAAGTTGGTTGAAAATACTCGCTATCGTTAGAATCTACTCTATTGAATTAAATTAATAATTTAAGATTTTTTTTTAGGTGATAATGAAATAATAACTTCACCCGCGCTATCGGTATACACCGGCGGGGTACCAGTGAGGATGATAGACGAGGATGAAACAGGTCAGGTTAGCTCATCGTGACTAATTTAACGAGAATTGTTCACGATGGTTTCCAGGGGGAACCACGTGGAGGTTGACCTGATAGGGCATATTGCTAGCAATGGGACTGTCAAACTCCATTGCTAACAATCCCTTCCCCCCAATTTAAGATATTGTGCTACAAAAACTACAATTTTAACAAAATTTATACAGGACCAAAACAGAACCAAACCCATGTCAGAATTGGAGAAGTATCTAATTGCAAAACGTAGATTTATTCTTCGTAAAGTAGTTTGAAAATTTTGCCATCAGTTAAAGTCAGTTAAGGTGATATACAATCATGAAGTTAATTTAACCAGTTGCCATGGAGTCTAGGCTGACACTGTATGTATAACATCT